TTTTCTTATAATGAAGCATAAAAAAAATTCTCCAATGCTGAAAGAAAGCATATAGACCATGTACCACACCTCTAAAAATGGATGGAGAGATTTCTGAGGATAGTGTTGGACATGAACAGATCAGTTAAAAGAAAACATCAGCAAAGAGGTAGAGGTCTAAGCATGGGCCTGAGAGTATTCCTATTTCAAAGGGAAAGAGTTTGGGGAAAATGATAAATTGATGATTGCAAATTATAGAATAATTCTATTTTCAGCAGACCAAATGTGCCAGATGGGACTTTGAAATTATAGTACTATATGAGAGAGATGGATAACTACAGATTTCCTTAATTGCAGCAATTATCCATCCCTTCATCTTTCAGTCTGATCTGAAGAAATATTAGAAGTTATTTGTGGACGGGAGACAGATGATGACGAGGGTCTTAATCATCTCTGAAACAAAGTTATCTAGATCCAAGAAAAAGAGAAGATGAAAGGCATAATGTCAACAGTATCCAGAGTGAGAGAGGTGAGAAGCGGCATGTATAAATGTGAGAGGAAACCAACGCCTGAAATAAGGCTGTGGAAGTGATTATGTCCAATTGTGAATTAGAAGTTTTTTAAAAAATCAGTTATAGTTTCTTATTCATGTGTCACTACTCCATGACAATGTAGAAAGAAAAAAAAATATATATATATATATATATATATACACATCAGGTTAAAAAGTGAAGCAGTTCATTTTTTGGCCACATACATGCTTAAACAGGAATTGTCTTTTCAACTGTTATTCAGATTCGACATTACTTACTGTGGGCAATCTGCATCAGCATTAAAAGATTTCATGTAAGAGCCAGGTCCATGGGGCATGCCTGTAATCGCAGCGACTCAGGAAGAGTGAGGCGGAAGAACTGCAGGTCAAAGGTTGGTCTAGGCATCCTAGTAGGGATCTTGACTTTAAAAGAAAGATGTGGGGCTGGGGGTAGGGGGCGAGCTGGGGGGAGAGGGAGCTGGGGGGAAGGGAGCTGGGGGAGGAGGGAACTTGAGGTATAGCTCAGTGGTAGAGTGCCCCCAGATTCAATTCTCAGGACCAGAAACAGAGAGAGAGAGAGAGAGAGAGAGAGAGAGAGAGAGAGAGAGAGAGATCATAAAAAAGAATGCTATTAATGTTCAGCATTATCAAATTAGTAAAATATTTAAAATTTTTGCAATTCCAAATTATGATTTTAATCAAGATGTAATAGGTGCTGTGCTTCAAGAAACATTGTAAACTGTGCTTTCTCCACTAGATGTCCCCAGAGAAATGCAAGTAAATATGGCTAATAGAAAATACTGCTAATAAGCTCCAGGTTTTAAAATTGCAAAAGTACCTCACTCAGTTAGGGTCAAGTAGCTCTAACAACTTATTATTTAATATGGCAGCCTGTCACTTCATAGGCTTTTAAATGAAATGAGAGTCTAAAGATACACAGAAAGGATGGCATACCCAAAATGCTCTCCTGCTTCTAAATGAATTAACGTTCAAGAAACATCACTTAATGTTTATATTGGGATAAAGTTAATCATCTCTTTCTCTAATTAATATGATTTCACTACTTTAGATATATTAGGCTTGGAAGATTAATGAGAGTAGACAGAGGAAATCCATTGCAAATATCATACTGGAAAATGGCCTGGGACATCTCACTTCTTGATCTTACAAGGCGTCAGCACAAATATCCAAACTTACACATTGCCTTTTGACCTCTTTAATTTGGTCATTCATGTTCAATTTTATTTTAGTTGTGTGCATATTAAAAAATGAGATAAAATTTACTTAATTTGAATTCTGTTCAACTTTTGAATTCCTTCAACCTAAAACGTTTTGTTGTTGTTGTTGTTGGAATGGCCTTTATTTTACTGTCACAAGGGACATCAGGCTAAAACTTTTAAGAAAATATTTTCCTTCCTTCACAGAAGAACAAATATCATTGGATCTTTTCCAGAATTTTAGTTTACAGCTTCTAACCCAGGTACTGGGGAAGATTGGGACCCTCAATGTCCAAGGAGCTTGAAAATAAGAATGCTCCCCACAAGAAGGTGTAGCAACAACATCAAGGCTTTATTGTATTTTATAAGCAAATTCTATTATGTGTAACTTACACATTAGGCAATCAGAATGAAAGTGATACTCAAGACATGCTGTCAAGATCCCATAGATCTTATTAAGAAGCAGGGGTTCTTAAGAATATGGTGCAAATAACTACTCTGGATCATTCAAAACCAAAGAAGTACTGGTTTAAAAACATTCTGCTCTTGGTTTTTGAGTTTACAGCTTGGTTGAATCCATTGTTCACGTCTAATCCTAGACAGTTCTGGGCAAGTTTAAGGTTGGTTATGTGCTGGGGACAGTAAGCACAATGTTACAATGACTTTATAGGCTCCAGAGGCCACAAGATATGTTTCAAAATTCTAGTAGATAATTGGCCAATTGCCAGGAAATTAGCATCCTGGTATCCAGAGACAAATAGCTCTGTCTTTCAGACACATTATTATTCTTCAGTTACATAATAAGTCATTTCTTTTTTGTTAATGCCTTATATTTCTGGGTCAGACTATGCAACCCTGGAAAGTCAGACTTAATTGTCATGATTTCAATCTTCCTCCCAACTGCTAGGAAAAATTGTGTGGCCAATCCAGGGGTCAGGATCCTTTCATGAAGCAGAAGAGAAAGAGTCCTGTGTAGAGAGAAACAAAGACAGAAAGAGACAGTTGAGTTGTGATGGGTACTTTGAAAGGGCAGAATTGTGTCCTTCCCTAGATTTTTCAATGTCTTTGCTGAAACTTGGACTGTCTTCTCTTCCCATTTCCTGAAACTGTTTCCATCCCTCACCCTCCTCAAACTGTCAGTTGTAGATTAGGATTTAATCATTAGCTTTGGACTTTCCTTGCTATTTGGCATATAATAGCTCACTTCTGGATTGGCCTCAGCTTTTTAAGTTTAGTACTATAATAAATTCATATTTACCTTAAAATTCTCCTTCTCTTGGATCTTTCTTCAGCCCAAAATTGCTCTAAATTTGTGAGTTTATGTGCTCAATCTGGCTCTCATTTTTAAGTTCTTTGAAGTCATTACTAATCCTAACTGTAAATATTTGAGTCCTGGCATTTGTTGACTTCCATGAGACTTTTACAAGTTCCGAACAAAATGCTCAGAATGGATAGATGGAAGATCTTTATTGTTTGAAACTCTGAAAAGAAAAATTGAAAAGCCTCTTTTTGTTGGATGAGCACGTCATGCTTTTTACAAAAAAAAAAAATGTAAACCTGTCAGAAAAGAACAGTAATCTTTTACATAGCTATATTATCAAGAATTTCACAATAGTTGACTTACTGATAGTCAGTAGAAATTATTTTCATAAAACAGTTCTTCTGTCCTACTCACTAATCAGTTACTAGCCACCTATCATTTGTACAACATAAGAATAATGGAAAACTATTCTATGAAGCAAACCAGAGAATTACAGATAAAGTTTGAATAACTCCATTCAAAGAAATATAAATGATAGATTAATATTATTTTTTTCTACAATAGACTAGGGAAAGAATATAATGTAACTTCTACTCTTACGTCTCTCCAGTTGCCCTTGTGAAGTGCTCCTTCACTTTCTATACTTTTATGACATGATTTTCAGATTGAAAAAGAGACCTCTGAAATATATTTCAGAATTTGGTTCGTGCATGCTTTCATTAATAAACTTGCAGCATATCGCAGTACTACTTTAATCCTCAAAGGCAAAATCTCATAGGAAGCTTAACTCTTCTGATATTTGGAAACCTTTCTGGCCCACTCCAGCCTCCCTAAAAACTTTTCTAAGTTTTGGACAATAACAAGAGTCCAGGCAAAATTTCTCTATCTCGCATGTGTGGGTGTGTGTGTGTGTGAGAGAGAGAGAGGTGGGGAGTCAATCAATGTGCTATTATAGAGGGAGCATTTACTAACAAAATGTATAGAAATTATTCTTTTATTCTAGGATGTATGTATCTTGTTTGAAATGGTCATTTTCAGCCTAATGTTGACCTTTGATATTCATATCTCCTTTATCTAGAGCAATCTGAAGATTTGCCATATCATGTGTGCAGCCATAAAAATGCACGTTCCCTTGGCTGAGAATCACATAGTGTAATGTTAAGAGACTTTAGTGACTCTTGTTAAAATCAGAGGAAAAATAATCTTGGCAGTGGCCCTATTTCGTAATACGTATTTAATTATTCCATTACTTTTGGATTAGTAATACTTGTTTCCAAGAGGGGAAGCTTTTGTCCAGTAATTATCAGAAGATGTGCTGCCTGGAGATCTTCAACATCATGTGAGGCATATAATGAAAAAGCCATACAGTGCAAATGTTTCTCCACCCTTTCTGTTCATTTCAAAAAGTTTAGGGAAACTTGCCGAAAGTAGATTTATGTTAATTCTATATATTCTTTGATATTTGAAAAAAAAGAAAGGAAATGGGAATCACCTCCCTTGGTTAGTAAGACTGCAAAGAAAATGTGACTTCTCCCCACATGCTTTGTCAGCAAGTTAGAATTCTGATTTCATATTTTATGTAAGTCATAAATCTATCCAGAATTTGTTTTTAATTCCACGCCCATTACCCCTTGGCAATGATCAAAAGTACTATCGTTTTTCTGGTGAAAACTAATAACCTTACAGTTCTGATGTGGACTAAAGGTGACAACTGTGATAAGATCAAATAATCACTTCATTGAGTACATGGACATATGCTCTGAATGGGATAGATGGCAGAGTAGTCCTTAAAACGACAGACAAAATCATTTTCAATAAAAATCCCTCTAAAGTACAAAAGAACAAAACTGAAATATGAACATTCAATGAGTCAGTTCTTCATGTAATTAAAGTAAATATCTTCCTTATTATGAGAAGATAAAGGAGTTCACTGTACTCAGTAAATATAACTAACCCAAACAGATTTTTTTGCTGGCAACTTGAAGTTGCTGATGCTTCTTGGAGAGAGTTCAGATTCTCAGGTTGATACACTGCTCCCTCCCACAACCCTGACATGTATATAAACTCTGAGCTCTCCAAAGCCCACTGCCAGTTCTCTTCGTGGACTAACTGCAATGGAGAGACTAAAAATGATTCTTTCCTTACCCATATTTTCTCTCTTCCTGCTCTTTGTTGTTAACCCTGCAGACACCAACGGTTATTATGACAAAGTTTTGGCTCACAGCCGAATCAGGGGCCGGGATCAGGGGTAAGTCAGTGGTTTGGTTTTATGAACTTTTTTTTTTTCCTTTAGCTTGTTGTATGTGCAAGTATACATAAAATGTGCATATATGTATAAACTTTGGGGTGTTTTCTTTCTATTTATAAAGTGATAAGAAAAGGGAAATTTGAGTATTCTGTGATTTATGTATGCATTCTAAACTTTTAAAAGAATTACTGTCAAAATAAGATTTTTGTAATTACTTCTTAAGATACATTATGTAATTTGAGTCTAATGAACAAAGTTTAACAGGACATTCCTTTAGTATTTCATTTGTGTTTTTATTTCCTTTCAAAGTTAAAGTCTCTATTTGTAGAGGCTACCATTATGTGAAGAGCTTTGAAATATCGCATGCGATGTTAGAGCAAATTTCATTTAAATTATGTATGAAAATTAAGTACTGAGTAATGTAACTAGTTCTCTGAACTCCTTGAAGTATTTTTTATTTGATAGGATGGAAGCAACTATAAAATAGCATTTTAAAACTTATTAACTTATTAAACATAATAGTAGACATAATTTAGTAACTTAACTGTTTATCTTTTTTTTTCTTATTTTAATGTGGATCTTGGCCCTGCTTCCTGTGCATCACAGGGATTTTTTTTTCATAATGTTCCAAGCTTCCTAGCCTTACAGTGGAAATAAAAATTACATTTCTATGAGAGGTTAAAAAGTAAAATAAAATTGTGGCTGAGAAGATTTAAATCTATTACTTCCACACAAAATAAATACATTTTCCTTTACTCAACCACATTGTTTAAAAGTTATTTTTAGTACTAATTTACTTCTGTAATTACCTAGAAAATTACAGAGTAAAATGTCTTTGTACAAAGGAAAACTTTGCCCCTTTTATTCTCTGATCTCTCATTGTCCCAGAGAGTCTTAAACACACCCTCATCCCCCAAATCAACACTTTGGGTCTAAAGCTGTCAGTGGATTATCCATTGTTGAAAATAATAAGACATTGGCGCTGGGGTTATGGCTCAGTGGTAGAGGACTCGCCTAGCACATGCAAGGCCCTGGGTTCAATCCTCAGCACCATATAAAAGTAAATAAAATAAAGGTATCGTGCCAACTACAACTAAAAAAATAAATATTAAAAAAAGAAAATAATAAGACACATAATAACAGAATTATGTTACACTTAATTCTGTTTGAGTATTCCTATTAGGTTAACTTTTTAAAATAGTGGTGTTTTACTCTGAGACTCTGAAATGTCTCTCTATCCCTCTCTCTCTCTCTTCCCCCGCCCCCCTACTGGCTTCAGTTTTTCCAGTGATTTGGCAGAACTGGATCAGAAATTGGACTGGGACAAGGCTTAAGTCATATCTTTGACTATCAAATCCATGTATTGACCTTTTTTTTTTTTTAAACCATCTGACCTACATGTAACTATGAAATACCATTAAACTCTTTTTCCTTTTCTCTATCTTCCAGCCCAAATGTCTGCGCCCTTCAACAGATTTTAGGCACTAAAAAGAAATACTTCAGCTCTTGTAAGAACTGGTATCAAGGTGCCATCTGTGGAAAGAAAACGTGAGTCTCTTCTTTTTCATCATTTGCTCCTTTCAAAGACAACATGGCAGTGAGCATACCTTCTCTTGGGTATGCACACCATTCTTGAAAATAACTATCCAAATTTTGAGTTTTTTAAAGACATATATATATATATATATATATAGATAGAGAGAGAGAGAGAGAGAGAGAGAGAAACTTTTTCTGCATCTCCACCATTACACATGGAACTCAGATTTCTCCCTGAATTCACATGTCCTAGAGGCCAAGAGGAGGAGAAAAGGACAGCAATGTCATTTGTTATAGAAATCATCATGAGAAACTAACCATTGTTTCTACTCCTTTTTAATTCTCTTTGTTATTTTGACCTCTTTTATCTTAGGCAAGTTAGTCTCCATGCCTCAGTTTCCATATCTCATCAAAGTAAGTAGATCATAGCCAGGTGTGACAGTGCAAACTTGCAATCTCTCAGGAGGCTGAGGCAGGAGAATACCATCTCAAAGTCAGTCTCTGCAACCAGGAGAGATCTTGTCTCAAAATAAAAAATGAAAAAAAAAAAGATTAGAACCATTTGGTATGTATCTCAGTGGTAGAGCACCCCTGGGTTCAATCCCCATTACTGCAAAATAAATCAATAAATAAAATACAAGAACAAAGTGATTGAAATCATAAAGAGTTTTGAAGCAAAAATTAATGTATGCCTCCAGTTATTCATAAATTATCTAAAGAGCTCCAGTTTACCTGAGTTTTCATGAAGGCTTAAAGTTGGAAAGGACTTAACGTGTCATTTCTTCATTTAATCTATGGATTCCTAGCTCAAGCTGCCAGATCCTCGAGGTCTACAAAGCTGTGAGGGAAGTGCATTACTACATTTAATCCTTCAACAGTAAAAGATTACTCTCTTATGTATATATTTCACTGATTAAGTTAATTAAAAAAAACATTATTTATCGCTTAGTAGACATGCTTCTTGGTTTATTATATCATAAATAGTGATAGGAAGAAAATTCTTGATGTATAAAATTTAAGAACTACTTGCATGGTCCCAAGTCATCATTTTACAATTAAGAAGCAGGTTAATGGGTAGGATAAATTACTAAGTAAAAAAAAAAGGCAGGTGCGGGGGGGGGGGGGGGGGGGGGGGGGGGCTTTGATGCTGTCCTTAGTCAAGAAAATACTGGAAATAGCTCTTCCACCTTCAGTGTGGGATGCCTTGAGAACTAAAGAACCTGCTTAGCACATCATGTTAAAATTCAGTTACCCTAAATAGAGTGGAAAATTTGGTTAAAACTTATTTCTAACCCAACACTATTGGTTCAAATATTAATATGGAATCACTTAACTTTCTGAATCTTTTTCTTGTGGAACATTGGTTTCTACCTTTATTATAGAGTTTCTGAGATGATAAGATGATGAAATGTGTAACAATAACTCCTAATGTAAGTTGTTCTTAAACTTAAACTATCTTAAATAAATGTGTGCGTGTGGATGGGAAAAACAGTTGTGACAAGATATCCACTTGAAATGGAAAGGGTTATCTTTATGTCCAAGCAAAATTCCTTTACACAAGGATATGACCTTAACTGTACTATATCATCTCCCCATGGTGATCAAGTCTAGAACACCACAGGATTTGGCTGCTAGTTTCCTGTTCATTGTCTTAATAGAGTCTCAACTGGATGTTATTTTTTGACCTAGACATTATTGCTCTTAGGTTGGAGACATCTGTTAGATGTGTGAGTCATTCACACAATTATAATGGAAGTTAGTGTTTACAATGATCTTCCTCCCCCAGGCTGCAAGCCAGACCCTCCTTGGGAACTCTAAAGCTCTGAATTTTCTTTGTTTTTTGTGTTCTTGGACATCATAAGACATATTTAGAATGCACACTAACTAGGAAAGAAAGGAAAATCTGCGTATTTAAGGAAAATCTTTATTACATCTTTCCTGGAAGTTGAGGAAGCCTTACTTTAATCATGTAAATATATTAAAGATGCCAAAATTTATAAAGAACAAAAGCCAAGACTCTTTCTTGCTTTCCATTGAGAGAGAAGAATCTTGCTTTGAAGGCTGACCTTTCACCAGAAATGTAACAGTGTCTCCTTTGTCCAAATACATTAGCTAATTTCCCTCAAGAAGCTTCATTTGCACAAACACATTTACATCTGTGCACTGAAATAAATGCAAATGCTAGTTTCATATAACCTAAGAAATCAATAAGATTGACAAGAAGAATGACTGGTTTGCCATCTGCTTGTTTGGCTCCAATTTTCCAGAGACATCTTTAAGACTTTATGAATCATTTGAGAAAAATGTTTACCTTCTGATTGAACAGTTGTTTGGGGAATTGGGGGGAAGTTAACTGACAAGTCTAATGAAGAGCATAAACTTCCTGGGTTTAAGATACTGGCCACGGTATATATTGGTTCTGTAATAAATTATTCTCTAGACACTCTTTATAGAATGTCAGTGACATTTTAAGTTGGCATTCCATGACATTTTAAATACTATTCAGTACATGAAGATAAATTTCCTGTGTTCCAAGTTGTGCATAGTAATATTTTCTTTTCTCTTCCCTTGTCCCACTGACCATATGGGAACATTGAGTTTTATGTAGTATAAATATTCTTTGGGGGAAAAAAAAAACACCTTTTTGTTTTAAAAATATCTACTCAGATAATCATGTTGTTAAACTATCAACTAAAATTAAATTCAACTGTTTTTGAAAAATTTTCCCATCTGGTTCATTAATTTTCTACACTAGGGCAGATCTTTGGGTTTTATTAGCATGTGTTGTTGAAATTTTTGTTATGTTAATTTTCTTTTCTATTCACTATTTACTTCAAGTCTCTAGACTAAGCACATCTGTATCTCATTATTTTATTCTATGCAATATGAGTTAAATATAAAGTATAAGCAAATTTAATCAACCCCTTGACATCCCAATATTTACATTTATTTATACAGAGACCCATGTAAATAAATCATTTTCATAGACCATATTAAGATTTTCATAAGATTACCACACAGTTCACATGTTTTCCCCATACCACTTATTCTTGAAATAATATTAAAATTAGTAATTTGAAATAAGCATTTTCCATTTTATTTTTTCATCTTCTTATCTATTAGTTTTCCTCAAGTCAATATTCTATACTAGAAAATTTTTTTTTCCCTTTGGTGGTGCTGGGGTTTGGACCAAGGACCTTGTGCATGCGAAGCAAGCACTCTACCATCTGAGCTATATCCCCAACCCCTTAGAAACTTTTAATTAACAAAATAGAGAAATAGGAACCCAAGTTCACAAATAATACAAAGCATGGGTAATTAATTAGTGAATTTATCTTCAATTTATATGTTTATATTTTTTCAGTTGTATAAGATGGTCTCTTCTGTTATTAAAAGTTGACTTCATGAAAATTTCCTTTCATGATTTTTATCATACTAAGTTTTTTATTCTTACAGTTGCCAAAATTTCTACTATATACGTCCAAATTCTATCAGTCCTTTTTACTTATTTAGTACAATTTTCATAGTAGATTAAAATAAATAATTAGTGTCTGAATTAGCTAAGTTATTTGGGGTATATTTTTGGTTGAAATTTCTGGATTTTGCCTTAATTATTGCTGTAGAAAGTAGCACACTTTGTAAACTTTGAACAGGGAAACATTTTCATGAATATTATATTCTAGCAACTTAAAAGAAATATTTATATCGTGTTTTCAAATTTGACAAAAATAAAAATAAATAGAAGATTTTAAAGATTATGTTTGCCATGATCAGATTAATAACTCTACTGACAATTCAAACCAAACAATAGCATTATTTATTCTAGTTAGAAATGAGGTGGACTTTTATGGATCAGAATGGGTTAATATATAGTTTTTCTATTGTTTCTATGAGCCTTATACTAATGAACATTTTTAGTTAGTTGTAGTATACAAAATAATTCCAAAATCACTTTTATTTGAGATTCACAACTACCTTGTGAGTAAGTATTGTTGCCTCCATGTCCATGTTAAATATCTGGGGAATCTACAGTGCTAATTTATCAAACGATTTGCCTGAGGTCATATATCTACCAAGTAGTAAAACCGGGTCACAAATTTTGTTCTTTTGAATCAAGATTGCAGACTTTTCCACAGTGCTGTGAGACTGTAGAAAACAGTCAAACTAATATACATATATTGATGCAGGGAAACTAATATACATATATTGATGCAGGGGTTGTGGTTTCTAGACTTAATAAATTGTGACAGTGACACATTTTGCCAAGATTACATCACAATATATCCTATGCAGTTCTCTATTTTAATATTAATTTTCTTCCAATGCACAGGACAGTGTTATATGAATGTTGCCCTGGTTACATGAGAATGGAAGGAATGAAAGGCTGCCCAGCAGGTAAATTCTAAATTAATTGTAATGAATTAAATGAGGAATCTGTCTTCTGCAAGAAAGAAACATTTGAGAAAGCTTTTGGAGAAGTGGTACATTGGGCTGGAGATATAGCTCAGTTGGAAAACTACATGCCTCACATCCCCAAAGTCCTGGATTCAAATCTAGCACCATAAAAACAAAAAAAGAAAGAAACAAAGAGAGAGAGAGAGAGAGAGAGAGAGAGAGAGATGATGTGTGTGTTTTCTTAGCACCATTGTTAAACCAACATATGTTATTCATATCTTTGTGCTAATGATGAATTTATCATAGAAATATAATAGTAAAATATTCTTCTCATGGACTGGATACTGGACAATATAATAGAAGCTAGTCATTAATTTAAATTAATTAAACGTCCCCTGAAGTACAAAAATCGCCTTTTGGAACTTGTTTAGAAACATGATACTCATTGCTTAGCAAGGCAACATCTTCTGTAGTTGAAAAGCTTTGACTTCATGATGTTCTTTAAAGGGAAAATTAGTTTCTAATAACTGCCAACTAGAGTAAACATAGTTCATCTATTTTTTCTTTGAAATGTCTGACAGTCAGATATTTACTTATAATCATCACATTATTTCTCTAGCAGTCCTCTCTTTCTCAAAAAAATGTTCTCTTCTCTGAGTTAATAATACTCATCCTTTAATGTGCATAAACTTTGCACTGTAGATTGTCTATAGGTAGATACACATGAGAGTGAGAGGTCCAAAGTTTCAGTTACATTAAAGAACTGGGACCCATAGACTGCAGGATACTGCTTTGGAACTGCATTCAGTCCAGGTGGATCTCCTTGTGGGGAGAATACCAAGACAAGCACCTCATCTTCCAAGACCCTGCATGTCAGCTCAAGTCATTGGTGACTCATATCATATGATTAGCACATACTGAATATGTGATCAATTAAGAATAATTCCGGGTTATTTTACATGAGTATCATCAAGACAAGTCTCCTTAGGGTTTATTTTTTCAGTTTAGGCATAGGACTAACATAGAACCCTGTTAAATATAACTTTATTCATTTTGACTCAGTTCTTCCACTTTGCTTGAGATCTTTTTAGATCCTGATTTTATACTTTATTAATTTTGTCACCACTTCTTGGGATCTTCACAAATGTAATAACCGTTTTTCTATGATAACATCTAAATTATAATAATTTTCAAATCACATAGTGTCAGAAAAGTAAGTTGACTACATATTACTAGATAAATATTGTTGGGTTTATGTTCATACATGAATCTTTCTTCTGAAATTCAGGAAAGCATTAGTTACTTTGTTCTGTCCCCTAACTGAAATTATCATGAAGACAAGTAGGTCTTTTAGCAGCCCTAAACTATAAAAATTGTAGATTTAAATAACAATATCATACAGTTTAGGGCTTCAAAACAACATTATATAAATTATTATCTTTTCCATTCTTAGTAGAAAGTGAAGAGCATCTTTTTTCAATAAAATCATCAGATATGTTCTGATAATTATGATTGAGCTATTACTGATATAGGATAGCAAGAATGAAACCCAAATAGACTAAATGTTAATCCAAGATAATAGTTTAAAAACCATTTTCCATCAACACAATGGATACATGAAAAAATACTTTCAAATAATATTTTATTATTTAGCATTCAAAAGATAATATTCATGTAAAATTGAGAATTCATGGAACTTATTTCTAAAATTATTCATTAAATACATTGGGGAACTTAGTGAAAAGATTAATTGATTGTGAAACAGTGTTCTGGAAATATTAACCTGAGTACTTACTCATTTCTTGACTATTTCAGTTATGCCTATTGACCATGTTTATGGCACACTGGGCATAGTAGGAGCCACCACCACCCAGCATTATTCTGATGTCTCAAAACTAAGAGAAGAGATCGAAGGAAAAGGATCATTCACTTACTTCGCACCGAGTAATGAGGCTTGGGACAACTTGGATCCTGTAATTCATTTTTTAAATTTTTTTGCTGTTATTATTTCATTTTAACTAACTAGCTTGAATATTAATAAAATATATATTTTCTATTGGACATTTATGAGGATATAGAAAATATTGAGTCACTGAAAGAAGGTATTTATTTTCATACATCAATAAATGGAATTGATTCCCCAGCAGACTTACAGATTGATCCATACAAAGAGAAAACAAGAATGAACTGAGAGGGCACTTATTATTGTTCTATTTTACTCCTTTCCTCTTACCATTTTGGCTGTGGAAAAACACATGTAATTTTAGATTATGTAGTCAATAGAAAGGTAAGTTAAGAAGCCAAGTGAAATTTAAAATCTGTTCTAAGCTATATTACATAGCTATATTTTATTATGTATGTTTAATTATATTCAAATATACATAGCTATTCAGAGATTGTGAAATTTGTAAAAATGCATATGGATATTTAAATGAAGTATTATAAAAATACATTTAATTTTCAGACTTTGTACACAGTCTAATTTACAACTTTTGGGTTATGATTCCATTTTTAAATTTGTAAAATTGGAATAGAAGTATACCCTTATCTTCTACTTGATAGGAAAATGAGTTGATAATTCCTACTGTAGTCAAATATACTTAACTGAAATGGAGGTATGTACTCATAGCTGTTGTCTTGCTACAAGAGCTGAGACTGTTTGGATTATAGAAGGCTCTCTTGTGGTCCTTCTCCACGTCTCAACCACCTCTTTATTTCCTGTTGAAGATTCCTTTTCTTCCTTGCCTTAAGAATGGAACTTATAAAAACCTTTTCTAGGAACTGAACTCTGCCCTTTATCTGAACTTCTGATGACTCCAACTCACTATAGATCATAGCCAAGAAATCTGTGTTCCCAGTGTTAATTTCTCCTTGGAACACCACTAGAGTATTTCTAATATTACTCTTAATATTTTTTCTTGGTTATACTATCTGCATATTTAAACAGAAAATATCCAAACTATATGCCATTTTTTCCTCTCTATCATAAATAATTGCTTTTTGGCTGCCTATTCCCCATAATTGACAGTACCAATCTCAAGGTTCAGACTTGAAAATCATAAGTTATCTTTACCTCTCCTCCTTCCAATTCTACTATCAATCAACCACATTTATTTTCCATCTGAAGTAATCCTCATAACTAATACTCTAATTTCTGCTGTGCCTTCCCTCTAGATTGACCTTCCTAAAGCCTAGTTCTAATTCCAAAGTCAAAATTTTTCAGTAGTTCCGCATTGCCAGTTTAAAAAATGGCATGGTTATCCCTTTAATGTCCTTATTCAGACATTAAAATCCTTTTTATTATCATACCACATGCATTTCTAAATGTCTTAATATTATCTGGGAAACATAAAAGTATGTTAATGAAACCGGTCCTTGCTCTCAATATTCACCTTCTGTTAGCTGCTGAATGACCAACAAGTCTCATCTTTTCTTCCATGTCTCTCTCCAAATCACTTTAAGAACAGTGGCATTTCTCACTGGACCCCTGAAAATATTTTTTTCCTTATATACTAAATATAGCTATAATTATCTTTACCTATTGTAATATAAGTCCCATTAAGGTTGAGATTTTGCTTTATTGTATTTCCTTTAACATCAATTACAATGCAATAGATTAAATGGTAGAGGGGGGTCAAATTCTTGAATTTGTTATATAATAAATAAAATCCTTATTAAAAATCAAGTATTGAATACAAATATAATGTCATCTTGAGTTTTACCCACCTAAAGTATTTTAAATATCTGATAATTCCCATTAGGTCTTCAATTTATATCATGATCGTTTCTTCATTAGCATATTCACTTAAAATTTGTGTTTTGTCTCTAAAAATACACAAGCACTCTATCAGATTCAGGATCCTTAACTGAATATTCGTACCTATAAAATTTCTTAATAAGATTGTAATGTTAAGTTACTTATTTCACTTTTGTGTAACCAATTAATAATGCAATAAGAAAGTAATGAGAGTAAAAAGTGATCATAAGAATTTCAATAATGAACCACAATAAAATAAATTTCTGTCATTTCAATCTTTCCTAGGATATCCGTAGAGGTTTGGAGAACAATGTAAATGTTGAATTGTTGAATGCTTTGCATAGCCACATGGTTAATAAGAGGATGTTGACCAAGGACTTAAAAAATGGCATGGTTATCCCTTCAATGTACAACAATTTGGGGCTTTTCATTAACCATTATCCTAATGGGGTAAGTTTCATTTATAAATAAAGTGCATTTCTGGGCCATGTCTCTCTTAATCTTGTCTGTACATTTTATATAATATTAAAAGAAATAGTAAAATGTTAGTGAGAATAATATAAATGCATGCATCATAACTTTCCTCAGATCTATGGCATGTAAATTTTCAATCCAGTTACTATTTTCTACTAATGATAATGAAACATAAAATACATTGGCAGTTCATTAACCAGTCAACTTAGATTTCATAAAATAGGAGAGTTTAGTAGTTGATATGTTTAAAATATTTTTTATAGATAGCAAAAAGGATACAGAGAATGGGTGTTCTTTTATTACTCTCTGGCTATGATGCCATTGAGATCCTTGTGTGTTTGGATAGATTTTATGGGAAGCTGCCAACAGGGCTATATAATTTTCCTATGGTTACATTCCCAGGGACAAAATGAGTTAGTGATAAACAAAACTTAGGTAGTCATTATAATAGAAATGGCTATATTTTTGCAATAATGATTTGTTTCATTTTCTCAGAACTTATTTTAAGACTAATTAGATTTCTTTATATAATTCATTGACCTCCATTAGAAATAATTTAGCTATATGTATGAAAGAGAAAATAAGCAATAATTCAAATTTTAAAAAATGCTTTGCTTTGCCTTATGTTTCCAGATACAAGATGTGTAACTAACCCGGGTTCTGAACTGGTTCTATTTTCTCTTTCAGTTTGATTTTTAAATATTTTGTTCTTCCACAGCATTTACATTCAGAGTATAGGCCCCTTCATCTTCCATATAATAGAATAAATGAAACCTATAATGGGCTTGTGGTCTCAGTGGTCAGTGGATGACTCTGATTTCAGTTTTCTCATATTCCCTATAATTATAGGTTGTCACTGTTAACTGTGCTCGAATCATCCATGGGAACCAGATTGCCACAAATGGTGTTGTACACGTCATTGACCGTGTCCTTACACAAATTGGTACTTCAATTCAAGACTTCATTGAAGCGGAAGATGACCTTTCATCTTTTAGAGTAAGTACAAGAGCAGATTCTTCTGGATCATTGAAATCCCTCCTCTTTCCCTGTCAAAATTCAACAACAGCAAAAAAGCTATTAAACAAACCTGGCAGAAATGTAACTATATTTCATGAGATTAAACTGTTTTAATTTTATGCAGGAGAAATCATTTCATATGAAGTAATATTAATGTGGACATGATTGATAAAGAATGATTAGTTCTGTGACTGTATTGTATTAAGTGCATTTAGACTGTGTCCATCTCAGTTATTGTATGTACTTCTGGATATTGCTATAGTCACACAAACACTGGCAGAATTCCATTCTGGCAGACACTGTTTGAAGAAAGTTGGAAAAGATATAACTGGTTGTGCCAAAAGTAATGTTTTAAAGGTCTAGCAAGAACAAACTTCTTAAGGGAAGAAATCAACTCCCTCATGTCAGCCTAGTCTAAGTGTGTTGTAATTTTCCTCTGGTAGACCTTTGCAATGTGTCATCCTCCGAAAAACACATTTATGTTTCAGGCAGCTGCCATTACATCTGACTTACTGGAGGCCCTTGGAAGAGATGGTCACTTCACCCTCTTTGCTCCTACCAATGAGGCTTTTGAGAAACTCCCACGAGGCGTCCTAGAAAGGATCATGGGAGACAAAGTGGCTTTTGAAGGTACCATATTCCTCTCTGAAAAGTCCCCCAGAACTTTGGGAAGGCAACAAAATAAAAAGTAAAAAAATTGTTCTTGCCAGTAATATAAAGTTTGATAAGAAAAGACAAAGAAACATTTTATTCTGAGGTGCACTATATAACATTTTTTTAAAAAGTTCCTGAAAGCATAGGCAGAATAAAATTCTTAAATAATAAAAAGTGTCTTTAAGGTTACATCCTCTTGTGCTGCTTTCAAGAAGGTTATAGCCTCTTGTGCTGCTTTCAAGTAAATAAGTAGCAGACAAAAAGGAAAGTTTGGCCAGTGTTGAAAAGAAATATTAGATCATCAGCTTTCATTTATACACACATACACACACACACACACATTATGTTGTGCTTTTAATTCTAAATGTATGCTAAAAGGTATATTTGAGCTGAGAAAATTACTGGTTCACTACTTATTGACACCCAGAAGAATCTGGTTTATTTCCAGTTGTCCTTTCTGTGATCAAAAAGAGTATACATTATGCTAGCATATTCCATACACCCAGCTTATCCCAAAATACATTTAATGGATGTAAGATGAGGAATTTTGAGGTCAACATAGTTGAAGTATAGATTGCTCTAGATATCCTTCAGGAAATCATTTTTATTTTGGAACTTCCTGGATGTTGTCTTTAGGGAATTATTTGTCTTCTCCTCAGCCCCCATCAACCTCATAACAAATTAAGGAAAGACATTCTACTGGGAGCAGCTCATACCAGATGCTGCCTGGGTATTTCAGCAAAGATATCACTAACAAATAACTTCACAAGTCTTCCAAAAGGGCTGATTTTTTTTTCTCGCCTTCACATCAAGAATTACTTTCTTATGACAGTTGGAACTAAATCTACCACACTTTCTAGTACCACAAAAATCATTTCTGAAGCTGATTTTCTCTTCTTCCTACTGTGTATGTTTATGTTCCTAAAAACATAAACAGTTAGGATTTTAAAATCTGCAGTCAATCCTTAGGACTTACATTTGTGTTCTATTTCTTAGGCATATTTAATTCCACTCTGAAGCACATATTTTAAGGGTCAAATGCTATTTCCTTTGATACGAGCGCTTGCTTTTTTATTTTGCCCCCCAGCTCTCATGAAGTACCACATTTTGAATACCCTCCAATGTTCTGAGGCTATTACGGGAGGAGCTGTGTTTGAGACCATGGAAGGAAATACAATTGAGATAGGATGTGAAGGAGACAGCATAACAATAAATGGAGTCAAAATGGTGAACAAAAAAGATATTGTAACAAATAATGGTGTGATTCATTTGATCGATGAGGTCCTCATTCCTGATTCTGGTAAGCATCGGTTTCATGATTTTTTTTTTTTACTTAGTATTATTCCTCAAGAAAAATGAGTAAGACCAGCAGCTTGGGAAGCTAGATAGGAGGATCACAAGTTCAAAGCCAGCCTCAGCAAAAGCAAGGTGCTAAGCAACTCAGTGAGACCCTGTCTATAAATAAAATACAAAATAGGAAATAGGGAGGTGGCTCAGTGGTTGAGTGCCTCTGGGTTCAATCCATGGTACAAAAAAAAAAAAAAAGTAAGAGTAAGTTCATGAAAAATAAACATGCAGCATAAAGAATGGCATAAGAAGCACAAACAAAATGAAGAGTGAGCTAGCCAAGTACCAAGTAAGTAGATGAGTAGTCATGGGCATTCCATGAATATGACTTTGCCATTCCAGGGTGTCTGACATCCAATATTTGTAAGGGTTCTCACTGAGCCAGGTTTTTCTTTGAAACAAAAGGAAAGGTATAACTAAATGGTCAGCTTTGGATAAAGAGAAAAACTGTTGGACTTTCAAGTGGAGAACAAGATGAGCGTTGAGCAATAGAGAATTAAAGAAACTGTTGTAGGAAGTCAGGAAGAAAATTCACTTCTGAAATTCTTTGTGGTTATCAACCCCCAAAATGGAAACTAGAACCTTCTTACTAGGAAAGGGCTGGATGTCTTACTAGATTGACATTGCAGTAAATAGCTTGCAATATTAGAAAAGAGCCAAGGATTGATTTACTAATCTCGTTACAACGATAATAACAATGATGACATTGTTGGGACGCTGATGGTTTATTTTACAGCCAAACAAGTTATTGAGCTGGCTGGAAAACAGCAAACCACTTTCACAGACCTTGTGGCCCAATTAGGCTTGGCATCCTCTCTGAAGCCAGATGGAGAGTACACTTTGTTGGCACCTGTGAACAATGCCTTTTCTGGTATGTACTGGACACTAATGTTCTTGCTCTTCACCCTCCCCCATAGACCTTTCTACTGCTTCACCATGATTTGCAATAACAAATAATACATGTTTTACGAGATGCTGATTAGTTTTTGTATTGGTTACATATACAACATGTTAGCTCTACACTGTCTAAAGTAAAAAATTCTTCACTTCAAAACATTTCATTATGATAGATAACAGCATGCAGGGAATGGAAGCTTTGATATAAAGTATTCAGTTAATCTGTGAATCTAATAACATTCCCAGTACACATAAGGATGCATTAATAGATTAAAGAAAACTACACATTATTTGTTTATTTGACACCAACATAAAAATATTTAGAGATAAAATTGATGTCTTTTGCATCCCAGAATTTGGAAAGCATGGCTGTCAGATTATGAATAAACACAAATAAGAGACTATTATGCACTTCTATATCATGGTGTAAAATATTATACGTTTTTCACCTAGTGGTTGTTATTTAACAACAATGTTTAGATTAATGGAAACGGCCACTTTTTTCAGAAAAATGATTTCATGAAGAAATATTTAAATTGTTAGGTAAATTTAGTAATTTAAAAGTTGCACTTTTGATATTATTTTCAACTAGTAAATTATAATGTAGAAAATTATTAATTAGAAAAAAATATAATTCCTAGATATATTACTTTTCCACTTCCTTTGTAATAATAATGCCCATATGTTTTGACATTGACACATTTTTAAAAGAGTTTATGTTCTGTTATTTTTCTTCCCAATATAAATATCAATTTACAATCAGGTGCAGTGGTGCATTCCTATAATCCCAGCCACTCAGGAGGCTGAGGCAGAAGTATGACAAGTTCAAGGCTAGCTTCAGTAACTTAACAACCCTGTCTCAAAGTTAAAAAAAGGATTGGTAATTTAGTTCAGTGGTAAACTGCCCTGAGTTCGATACCTAGTACAAAATAATTTTTTAAAACAATGGATTCACAAATAATTCATTAATAGTCATTCATATGACTAATGGATATCTAATTGTCAGAAAAACTTTGGCCACTATAAGGGTTTAGCTTTGTACAGTGACCACCATAAACGTATGCAGCCTTTGCAGCAATGAAGTTCATTGTCCTGAACTGCTTAGAATCACATTAATAATCTTTTGATGCAATAGGCCATAGAGTCTCTACTTGGTAATTGAATTGCTTGCCTTGCACATTTAGTCAACTCAAATAATGACTATAGGATTCACATTAATAGTATCAGAAGTTATTCATTTTCACGTTTTTCTCTTATCAGGAGAAATATAAAGGTTTTCCATATAAAATAATGATTTTTCTTAATGAATTTATTTATAGATGACACTCTGAGCATGGATCAGCGCCTTCTTAAATTAATTCTGCAGAATCACATATTGAAAGTAAAAGTTGGCCTTAATGAGCTTTACAATGGACAGATACTCGAGACCATTGGAGGCAAACAACTCAGAGTCTTTGTGTATCGCACAGTAAGTGAATCAGAACAAGATCAAAATCTACATTGGCCTAAACATCAAATTGCATGTGGTCAAAAGAATGTAGTTATAACAAATGTTTTCCAGAATTTTATGAATTCAATTTTAATAGTAAATATTCATAGGAAAATCAGGAAATGGGATCTAGGTAGCATGGGTAAAAAAAAATTGTGATGAAAATATACCAAAAGACCTATGTATTAATAACTCTGATAATTTCCATTTGTTTCATTAAATAAATGACTTTATGTTCTAAAAATCAAATTATTTTAAATACTAAGAAAGCACTAAAAGTCACCCTTAAGTAAGTGTTTGGTATGTAGAGTACTTTATAATTTACAAAGATCTTTGTATATAGAATAAAAAAATATGGAATAATGTTTTATAGTAAATATCATTCAAGAATTAAATCGTTTTTTAACAACTGTCAAGATAAATTTTTATAGATACATAGAATTTTCTGGACTCTATAAAATGATTCTAAAATGCATTTATCAACAGGAAAATTTCTAGAAATAATTCTTATTAAAGTTACAGTGCAACCAGTGGAACTGTTCTCTTTCCAACCAGGGAATGTTTGCAGTTACAACAAAAAGGTCTCAAAGGAAATCAAGCATTACCTAGAACTGAGTTAGACACAGCAGCTGCTTACCTTAGATCCATAATTTCGAGGCACACTTTTTAAATCACACAGTAAACACCCTTCACTTTGAATGACACATATACACAAATCACATTTATTCAAGAAACTATAAATGAATCAATGATTTGACTTGTAATTCATTGAGTCTTACAGTCAAGAATTTTTAGTAAATATCTGTGAAGATAACAAGAGGCATTAAAATAAAAAAAAAAAAAAAACTGTATGGTTATTATTGACCTAAAGAGGGTCTAGGGAAATAGAACTTGGAAAGTAGGAGTGAAATTGTATGGAATTTTTGCAATTCACTGACAAAACTGTCTGCCTGATGTTTAGGATAATTTGACTAGTATAAAACACGTCACAGCATTAGAAGTCATGAATTGAAAACAGAGGAGAGAAACATTTTTCTCTGGCTTCATGGGTCAAGGGACCTCTCAGAAGGGCCAGTCCAAAAATATAAGCACATAGCTATATCAAATGGAAAATTTCAAGCAATGGAAAGGACATCATGTATCTTTCTTTGCTCTGTTAGTCTGTCTGCATTGAAAATTCATGCATGGTGAGAGGAAGCAAGCAAGGAAGAAATGGTGCCATTCACATATTCCGAGAGATCATCCAGCCTGCAGAGAAATCCCTCCATGAAAAACTAAAGCAAGATAAACGCTTTAGGTAAGCTTATTAGTGGTACCTCCACAAAAGAATGAGAGGTACCTGCATATTTTTATTTGACAATCCCCAAAAGCAGTCAGTTTCCTGTATTTCTAAGAATATAATTTAAAATGACAAGTCCATATAAATATTTTCAAAATTAATGTTTTTCCACATTTATATTTGTACAATATAGTTGTACATATTCATGGGACTTGTTATATATTTGTACATGCACACAATTTAACAGTATAATTTGGCCAATATTTTAAATGCTATTTAATATGGTACACTATATGACTGATGAATGAAAAAAATCAAGTCTACCGAACAACTCCTTGGAAATTTTCTTATGATTAAGTTTATTAAAAATAATAGTATAGGGCTTAGTGGCAGAGCTCTTGCCTCACACCTCACGTGTATAAAACTCTGGGTTCAATCCCCAACAGTGCGCGCACACACACACACACACATACACATACACACACACACAAAATGAAAGTATACACTAGCAAATAGAATTTTATAGAATATTAAATGAAAAATTCTATTTCATTATAAAACGTGATGTTGACAAGTTTTATAAGATAAAAACAGTTGAGGAAATTCAAAACTAATGTTGTACATTTTAATCATTTCTCCATGATAAAGCTTTCTTCACAGCTAAATTGTCTTTGAAACTTGAAAATGTAAGATGTTTCTCTTTATTTCTACAATATGAATTAAATTCTAGTCTTTGTATTGTGGATGAACCTACCTAAAGCTAAGTCTAGCTTAACAAATATACTTGCTTCCTGCGTAGCATCTTCCTCAGCCTACTTGAAGCTGCAGACTTGAGAGATCTCCTGACACAACCTGGAGATTGGACCTTATTTGCTCCAACCAACGAAGCCTTCAAAGGAATGACCAATGAAGAAAAGGAAATTCTGATCAGTGAGTAGAAGTCGATGCCAGATATTTATCCTTTCATTTCTGGATCTCAGTTGTTCTTCAAGCTTATTCTTCCTTACTAAAGAAGATGGCTCTTCTTTAGTATTCATGGCAAGCTTTAGTTTTCTCTAATTCAGCTTGGGAAGTACAGAGGATCATTCATTAATGTTCTTAAACTTCTTACTTTTGTGTTGCTATTAAAGGACACACAAATACATGGCAGAGAAGAAAATAGTTCTAATTTCAGGACTAATTTGATTTTGATTCCTCCATTCATTTGGGTAATATTTGGGTTGAAGTGAATGAAATGACTGAACATTTTGACATAGCATTGATACTATTTTGAGAGAACAATGACATAATGAGAAAAAAAACACAGGAAACAGAAAGACAACTGTTTTGTTTCTCTTTCTTAGTACTATTGAAATGTCAGAAAATATGACATATTATTAAGCAAATATATATACCTTTACCCGTAGGGGACAAAAATGCTCTTCAAAACATCATCCTTTACCACTTGACCCCAGGAGTTTTCATTGGAAAGGGATTTGAACCTGGCGTTACTAACATTCTGAAGACCACACAAGGAAGCAAAATCTATGTGAAAGGAGTAAGTTGTCCAGAATGAATTTGTGAAAGTGTCCATCTGTTATTAAATTATCTTGATGTCCATTCTTTGTTAAATTTCTCATTGACCTTACCTCCTTGTTTTGCTAGGTAAATGATACCCTTCTGGTGAATGAACTGAAATCCAAAGAATCTGACATCATGACAACAAATGGTGTCATTCATGTTGTAGATAAACTCCTCTACCCAGCAGGTTGGTAGTTATTGAACTCATTGATGGACTTTTTTCACATTTTTTATTTTACATACCGACATTCATTTAATGTTACCTTTCACAGACACACCTGTTGGAAATGATCAGCTTCTGGAAATCCTTAATAAACTGATCAAATACATCCAAATTAAGGTACAGAAATCCTATTGTATTTATTTCTCATATGTTGAACAGATATTGCAGGTTGAGCATGAGAGACTAGAAATGTAGGCATTAATAAGTAAGCATTCACTGGGCTTGGATTGCTCTTTGTTGCTTATGTACCACAAGCCATCCTATAAAAAAGCAACAGTCTCTTCATAGTTTGGATCAATAAATATCTATTCAAAGCTATTTGGGGAAAAATTAGTGTATTAAATATCCTGGAAAATACTAAGTTGAATCAGATGCTGTTTATTCAAAAAGTTTACAGTCTAATTGGGAAGATAAGACATATACATATAAATGAAATGTTTATATATCAAATATCCTTGCTACTAAATATAATGAAAAGATAAAGAAATTACTTATAAAACATTGTCAGTAATCACAGATCAAAGGCAAAAGAGTATTTTGCCCCTTTGTTTTTCTGGGCTTAAAGTAGCAGAAAGCGTCTAATAATATTTAATAAACATATTTAACTTTAAACTAATTATTCTATAATTTTAAAACTCTGAGTGACAAACCCAATTATTTTTTATGTCTCTGACATGACAGCAATGAACTAGGAAAGGATTTCCTTTCTATTAAATGTAGGGACAGCTTCACTATTTTTCTTGAGCAAGAATTAAAGTGGTGCCGTGTTTTGTTAATGCAACTTCCATATTTTATGTTACTGAATAAAATCATTTATTTCCAGTTTGTTCGTGGAAGCACCTTCAAAGAAATCCCCATGACTGTCTATAGTAAGTATGTGATGAGTATTGACTGCATATAAGTTCCGAGATGAAAAAAAAATTGTCTCTTTGTATTTACAAAGACTATTGATAATCTGGTATTTTGAATTCTAAACAATGACAACTCTCATTCTACTTGAAACAGGGCTTGAAGTCTGGGAGAGGCCTCTCAGGCTTACCTTTTTAATGTCAATGAAGCACTTTCCCATTTATGGGGAAAACAGGAGTGATAGGAGATGAGAAAGACTGTAAAATAAAATACTAGCATGGCAGAGACCAAATTTCTTTAAAAAAAAAAGAAAGAAAGAAAGAAAAGAAAAGAAAGATATTCAAAAGTAAAAGATAGCCAGTAAGTGTTCTAGTGCTATTTGAAAATTCAGCTGTGTGAACAGAGAAACAGGATTGCCAAAGGACATGCTCATTCCACCCTTCAGCCCTGAGCTACCTACAGACAGAGTGGAAGCATGCCAAGGAATCCTAAAGCTCATGAGATGATGGTTCAAAATCTCTCCCCATCCAAAACTGGGCAAAGGTACACAAAATCTGAATCTCAGGTTTCGAGATTCCAGGTTCATTTATCCCTGACACTACCAGATTATCAAAATTAAGCCTCTACTACTTAAAAATGGCAAAGGATATTTCAATTTCATAAATGGTGCCCATTGAATATTTACTTCTTGTAACTTTTTCTTCCTTTGTCTTTTTTTCTTTCTTTCCTTATAGCTTTCAAAGCAGAGACTCTTTTCATTTTGTTTTGGCTCTACCACTGAATACTCAAAAGTATAAACATAGTTAAAACTTTATTTCAATTCCCACATTTATTCTGGCTAGAACATCTGTTTCATATCATGAACATCCATTTATTTAAAGAAGTACTTTTCTCTTCAGATGTACAGTAACATAATCACAAAGCCAGAGTAAGGAGCAAAACAAAATGTCTGCTGCTCTTACTGGTTTAAATTCTGTGATGATAACATGCAATCCCAGCATCAGACCAGCTCAGCACTGTCTTAAGGATTTAATTAGCACAGTCATCATTCAGCATGGTAGAAATTCCATACTGGAAGTCTACAATTTTATTAAAAACATATTTTATAACAAACAAGAATCCTTATGAGCTCTATTCATCAGACGTGTTTTCTTTCTCCACCAAAGACATGTACCTGTATGATGGTCCTGTATCTTTCCTACTTTGTCCATGTCTGTTCCACCACTTTCCATATGTCAGAGCAATATTTTGTTTATAATGAACCAAAATTACTAGCTACTGTATTGTGTTCTCACTCATAGAGTATAAACCACATATTACAAAATTAAACAAATTTAATGACTCTTGACAGTCTACTTAGAAGGCTTGAAAAAGCTGAGATTTACCTTCCAATATTGGATTTTTGCTCGTCCCAGGATAGGTATCTTGTTATTAAGAAGCATTTTCAAATAGAAGTAAAACTAATTAAACCAAAGATCTTACTTTTATGTTCATCTGTTGACTTGTCTCTGAAATTTCTTTAATTTCCTTCCTATTTACTATTCTTGCCCCCAGAATATAGTACATTTTTAATTGTATGGGGGAAATGTTATTTGTTATAAGTTGTCAAATATAGAACATTTGAAGTGGAGAAGACAAAAATCAGTAAATCCTTAGCCAAATCTGTCAAAACTATTTAAGTCTTAAGAAAGCAAAATTGAAACAAAAATATGAACAAAATCTTCAAACTAAACCTCAAACTCCCTACTATGATATTAAAGATTTAAGGTAAAAGTAATTAATCCACTTTGATAGTAGCAGCAGAAATCTCTGCATATTTGGCCTTCATGGAAAGGTTCCTCTATAGCAGGACAACTTGTGGAATCAGTAATTGAGCACAAATTTGATATACTTTGGAGCTTATAATTTGGTATGTCAAGACAGAATATGATTAAACATACATTGTTCCTATTGAGACGGCTTACATTGATTTAAAATGTTGACACAAAAAAATTTTCAGAAATAGCCGCTGAGATTGTAATAGAAACTCAAATTTTGCTAACATCTCCACTCTAATATGTCAATACCATGTTGTGATTGTTACCGTTAGCACAGTCCATTATCCTATGCAATCATCTTTTAAGCCTTCTAAGTAAAAATGAAAAAGGCCAATAGCTCTGGTTATATAACTCCAGAGACACATTTCCAGTTGACCTGAATAGCCAAAGTCAACCAAATTGTTGACTGAGATTTTAAATTAACTTTACACATTCTTATCTCACTTGGGTAGATAATATATATTTAAAATGTATACCTTTAAATTTAAAAAATTGGTTATGATGAAATAAAAAATTAAAGGCATTTTCTCCTCTAACTTCATGCTGACCATATCATATTTGTTGCATAGAGCTCCTGTCTGGCTGACTGAAATGTATTCTTATCTTAAATATTCTAAACTATTTTTTGTATTTTTCTTTAAATGTTGCTGTTATCAAATGCATGAAAAACACTTTAAGAGACTTCTCCTCTCAATTTTCTTCTGTTTATTGAGAAAAAAATCCAACAATGCAATTTAAGGTATTATGAGTTGCATGAAATTAATCATGTTTATTTGTCTTCTGTTGCTATGCAGCCAATATTTTCAAGAAGTACAAAAGAAGGTAAAGAGTATTAGTGGTACAGTTCAAAATTATAGATTTCTAGATAGAGTTCCTCATTTAGTGAGCATTTATTTCACTGGAACACATCCAAGTCACTGGACTTCAGAGTTCAACATCTGGACATGAGAAGATATTAATTATGAACCATGAATATTACCTGTATCTGACTGCCTGAACACATTATCATATCTAATTATTACCATATAAACTTATTACCCCATATGGAAAAGAACAACTTAATTCAGGTTGTTTTTATGTAAACATCATTCATATTCCACTTTCTATACTTTCAGCAACTAAAATTATAACCAAAGTTGTGGAACCAAAAATTAAAGTGATTCAAGGCAGTCTTCAGCCTATTATCAGAACTGAAGGTAAAAATAAATGCTATATGTGGTTCCTTTTATTTCAAAAACATCATAATATACTGATTTCTATGAATGTATCTACATTCTTTTTTTTTTTGAAACTAACATGCTAAATATTTCTATACCAATGGCATGCTCATGTAATTGCAGAATGTGGAGTGCAAATTAATTAGCAAAGTAGATGGCGCATTCCTAAAACTTTCAGTACATTTGCTTGTATTTGATTTAGTTTTAATTTAATTGGTGTTGCATTAGCACGAGTACCCAGAAACTTACTATAAACAAATAAATCTGTAGGTAGACTCTTTCAGAGATGAACTCTTTTTGAAGTTCTTTTTCCAATCTTTCCACATGATCTTTTTTGTACCGTTACAGGAAGCTTGTCCAAAAACTTATAGTACTTTCATTCAGCAACCTGAACATAAAGGTGTGCATTAATGAAAGCTCTTTAAAGTTTCAACCAGGCAGGTATTTTCGAAGTGCATCACACCTGAAACAGATGAGTAGCATATTGACTGAGTCAAATCTTAGAATCCTAAATTCCAGTCTTGAACTTAAAAATACTGATAGACAGATAGATAGATCCTCTACTCTTATGTTTTAGGCTTAAAAAAAAAAAAAAAACAGTCACTTTTCTTTTTATCCTTACTGTCTATGTAAGTGAACTTCAACATCTTAGAGATTACCTTCATTTCATATATTTTAATTATCTCCAAGGATCAAATTTAAAGAATTTATTCCCCTGCTTTTACATCTTAATATGGTTACTTGCCACAAAGAATAGACCTGGCTATCTTCTTTTCTGTAAGAAAGATACAGTCTTCAATAAAGGAACCAATTATATCTTTGAGTATCAGGAAAATTTTTATTTTAGTTATCTTTGATTTTGGTATTTCTTTTCATTCTGTGGATTGAGATGGTGACTTTGAAAATACATTTGCCTGTTCCTTTCAAAGTGAACCATGACTGAAAACGTAGCCATTGAGAAGATATGTAAAGACTGATTTCTCAGCCGATTAGTTATCTACATTAGTATTCATTCTTGAGACTCAAAGTTGACTCATGCTTTGAAATCTGTGCTGATATTTTTCTTTTAAATATTATGCTTATCGTTGTTTTATTGTTTTTGTATGTTGATAAAGATTTAAAGTTTTAACAAGAAATTAAGTCACAGGAATTTTGTGGAAAAATATTTCTTGGTCATTTAAATGGAAGATGACCAAATGATCCTAGATAATACCACTGTTTTTAAAAATTAGAACCCCTAAACTTTTTTTAGAACTTTACATACAGCTTCTGTAACTGAAATGGATCACATGTGCCATTGTTCTTATTTCAAGGATTCGTTTGTGTTCTTTCAGGCTTCTTCATTCAACCCATTTACCCTCCGATTCTTTGTTCTCTGTATTCTGTCCCATTATTCTTTCTCCATCTAGAGATAGAGAGACGTGTCAATTCTACCAGGGTTCTTCCTTTAAAGAGGATATGGATGAAAGAGGGTCATGTAACCTATTCATTAATAACTCTTCAATTCAAAGATTTGGAAGTTGTACTCCTTACATAGCACAATGAAGGGAACATTCATCTTAGCTGCCATTTCTAATTGTCCAGTTTCTAAGAGTGCTACTGTCATTTGTTTCCTATCTTTTATTGATTCACTGATGAATTTTGAGTTCTTATTAAATACATTAGACTCAGGACAAAATTTCAAGATTTTTTTTGAAGTAACAAGCCAAATTTTAGAATTAAGAATAAGTCAACTGAAATTCAATTCAACAGACAGTTATTAAATACCCAGTGTACTGGGTATTCTCCTAGATGCTATGAATAACTTAAAAAAAATTTTGGTCAAATTTCTGCCATCATGGAGCTTAACAATAGAGGATATTCCTGAAATTTCACTTTGGATTTTCTAAAAAAAAAATCAATTTAGATATTTTATTAACTCATTTGTTTTTCTTAAACTTCTTAGGCATACTTTCTTTTTGAAGTTACTACACCTTCAAAATCTGATCTTATGTGTTAAATGTAATATTCATTGCCCTCACAGACAAAATATCATGGCTTGAATATTTACTGTTGAAAGACCTGTACTTCTGTTTTCATTATTTTAGATTATTCTGTTTAATTCTGGGTAATGGTATACATTGACAATTTCCAGACAAGCAAATCCACTCAAAGATATGCAAATATAGTCTCATCTGACTATTGAAGGGTGTTACAGTATGAGTTAAATGTACTGAACTTGAGTTTTCTTATGCCTTTTAAATAATCTTGATTAACTAATATAGTAATAAGCTTTCTAACATTCAAAATGATTTTCTCTGGGAGCAAAATCATTTTGCAAGTCAAATGCAACACTTTAACTTTTGCATTTGAAGGACTATTTAATTATTAATTATTAATTAGTTAATTTTTTATTAGTCTAATATACAAATTGAGTACTCAGATCCATTTTCCCATAAAGCCTGAAACTCACTACTTTAAAGGTAAGTATAGGAAATTTTCTTATGCTCAGTCCTATGCTCAAAAGATCAAAAAATTAAGGTCTTCAGTGATAAAGACTTAAATAAAATATTTTAGTAAGTAAAGATAATGTCAGTATGGTAATGTCAGATCTAAACTAGTCATCATTACAGATATTCAAAATTTGTTCATTCTGTATGATTCACAAAATATAGACACATATATACTTTACAACTATAATTGAATCAGATTTATACATCACTTTAAATACTAAAGCAGATGAAAGTAATTGTAGTAGGACACCCATAGAATGTTCCATCTGTTTTCATAAATATTGTCTGATCTGAAGATAATGGGAAATGTTTAGAACTGATTTCACAAAGCCTGAAACACTTTGATGTCTGATTAACACCAAATGTTGGAATACTTTTCCTGTTCTGGGAAATCTAAAGGACTGTTTTAACATAATAATTTGTCTCCTAAAATGATGTCTCAGGACCTGCAATGACAAAGATCCACGTTGAAGGTGAACCTGAATTCAGAGTGCTTAAAGAAGGTGAAACCATAACTGAAGTCATCCATGGAGGTGTGTTACTATGTGTTTTTCCTAGTGTGTCGGTAGCATCCTTGTGTTTATTTGGAAATAGTGTTGGTTTAGAAACTTTGAACCCATAAAATTTTCTTTTTAGTTTTTATTTTATATAAATTGGGGGAACCATTTTCAAAGCTACAATTTAGTCAACAGTTTACCTTTGAATGGATCCTATTGAAATTAATTCAACTATTAAGTCACTAGGGCCACTGAAAACTATTATTACTTCTGCATTTGTAAGTGATGATTATGAAATGTAATGAGATCTAATGACTACAATAGTGTCTATTCAAAAAGACATGTTGGACTTAGAAATGGAAGAAAATGGTCATCGTTTGAGACTCTGCTAATAAACCATTACTAGGATTATCATAGGGTTTCCATTTCCGTGATGGCAAAGTTGCTTGCCAGTTGGTCCTCCACCTAATCCAAGACTCAGGACAATTATTGCCTTTTAGACTTACATTGATTTTAATTTACTATCTAGATGCTCTAACAATGACTAGGATTAAAACTTAAGTGGTAATTTTTAGAGAAATACATTACATTATTAAAATGTCAACCTTATGAAAGTATAGACACCATATGAAGATAAATGAAATGTATTTTCCCTCTATGTTCAGAGCCAGTTATTAAAACGTACACCAAAATAATTGATGGAGTGCCTGTGGAAATAACTGAAAAACAGACCCGTGAAGAAAGAATAATTACAGGTAATTTTAAATTGCATACATAGAACTATGCTGGTATTATAAAGATCAAAATGATAGTTAATCCTAAAATCTCCACAAGAATCATTATAAAAACAAAGTGACTAAGTCAACTTTCCTGATAACTACTGAAGTACTTCATTTCACTTTTAGGAAAAATAACATTATTCTAAATGTATGATACATGTATTACTCTGAATTGGTAATTTGTGGACAAGTGTATAAGATGTGCTATGATGTGCATTGCACATATGTTATATGGCATATTATCTCTGTTTTTCTGTTTGTTAATGAGGTATCGAATATTAGAATCAAAAACTTTCCTCTTTGAGTTTCCATTAATCTTAAGATCTATACATCTAATACCAAAATCTATGCAATTTTATATAAAAATTGGATTGATAACAATAGTAAACCTTTGTATCAGCCTCCCACTTATGAATTAACCTAAAATTCTAAATTCAGATATTCTATTAGTATTTATTTAGACAAGTAAGCAGCAAGTAAGGATTATCTGCTGTTTTTGTAAATAAGGTTTCTTTATATAATGTTTATGTCTTTTTCACACTATAATGACAGAACAGAACAATTACAACACAGACCATATGGCCCACAGACTCTAAGATACTTCCTTTCCAGTTCTTTACAGAAGTTTTTCTACCCTGTTTTATTGTCTTTTCTTTAGGTCCTGAAATAAAATACACTAGGATTTCTACTGGAGGTGAAGAAACAGTGGGAGCTCTGAATAAATTGTTGCAAGAAGGTGAGTTATAGCTAAAAAATAAGGATGTTGTGCTCAGCTGTCTGTTCCGCATCTAAAATAGTCTTTAAGACCTGGTACATGTTTTCAACTCTACCTCATTCTGTTGTTCAACTTCCATACCAACATAAGGAAAACGTCCAGAAATATGAAAGGAAGCATAAATAGTAATCTTATTGATTGTTACCTATTGTTTAACAGCTTTATAAAATAATTTGCATCCCAAAAATCAGCACTAAAAACTGAGAAGGAACCAGATGTTGGTCTGGAATTCTTTATTGAGTTGATGCCAGTATTTATCATAGCAAACCTCCTATTTTTTTTTTTCATTATATAAACCAATTTCTGCTATAAACATGTATCCTCTCAGAGGTCACCAAGGTCACCAAATTCATTGAAGGTGGTGATGGTCATTTATTTGAAGATGAAGAAATTAAAAGACTGCTTCAGGGAGGTTAGTAAAAGGACAACAACTAACCCCTGTAACAGGTTCTGGTTTGAGTTCTTCAGCTTTTTAAAGACTGAGCATGCTGGGTTTTCTTTTAATTAGGTAAAAGAGACAACATCAGCTGTTGTCCAACAAATCAAGTGTTTTGCTGAAGTAATCATTGTAAAGAAATAATTACAGTTTATACAGTCTTTAAAAAGTTCTGTGGTATTAAGCTTGGGGAGCAATGAATATTTTTTTTAATTGAATGCAGATAATTGTGAGGATATTCTGAGTGTGCGAAAGAGGAAGAGTTATTAAATTCTAGCTCTTACTCAAAAATTTGACTTTTATATTTTCAAAAAAAATGTATTCACTGCCCCCATAACATAAAATAAATAAAAGGCATGTTATATATTAATTTTTAAATGCATAGATATAGCAAAAAAAATGAGCTCATTTAGCAACTATCTTTTCCAAAACTACATTCTTGTGAATGAATATCTGTTTCTTCTAACATTTGAGTGATAATCTTTACCTTGGAAATGTGAATTATTTTGCCTGTGAAATTAATCCTTAGAGTATGGAATGTTTTCCATCTATGATATTAAATGGACTTACTTTCAAAAGAAAAAGAAAAAAAAGAATTCAAAATATCACAGAAACTCTAAATAGTAATTATTCAAGCAAGTAGTAAATGTTAACAAAATATAATCTGGATCATTAGTATTTGAATAAAGTAATTTATAGTTCAATTACTAACAGTAAAAAAAATATTAGACCAAAAATTGTTTTAGAGAAATAAGTAATTAAACTAGTCAGAAAAAAAAGAAAGATAATATTTGTAATAGTCTATGAATTTTGAAATGTAACTGAAGTTTGATATTCATCCAAAATGTATCTAGATGGCTGGTTATTTTAATTTTTTGCTTATAATTTTAAAAATTATGTCACTATGGCCAGAATAATATAAATTCTCTTGTGATCCCATATATTTTTGGCCGTTATTTTTTCTATATTTTACACTTTAACATAGATCATATCTCTTGAAACCTGCTTCCATATTTGTGGTAGTAAAAATAAATATTTATGCAACCAATGATTGGATCTCCCCTTAATAGAAATATATGTGTCTGAAAAAACAAGATCTCCTTTCTTAACACAGAGAGTGTTATGTTATATCCTAATTAAACCAAAGTTTCCTATAAGACGAAATTCAGCGATCTATTCCTAAACACACAACTCTCTATTATGAAAACATACAAGGATTTGAAGAAAAAGGTAAACAAATTATAAAGACTAAATTGAATTCTTTTTTTTATTATTCATGACATAGTTAACAGCTTTGTAGAATGGCAGTGCTTTTTAGAGAATGAATTCATTAGTAGCTGCCTTGTTTATATTGCTTTTATTCATTTAGGTTAAACTGTAGGTAAGTATGATTTTCCCCCTTTAATAAGGCTTTCTTATTAAGTTCATTAAAAACAAGTATATTATAAATACGTTATAAAGTGTTGATCCATCCAGGAGAGATAACTGCTACAAGTAAAAAAAAAGTATTGTTTTATTTTTAATTAATGGATTTTTTTCTTATTTCTGTTTCTATTTACCCCAGAAGTTGATTCTTTCAGTTCTCAGTATACAAACTATCCATATATCAGTAACACATGTTTCCATAATGCCACATAATAACTCTTATCAAAATATTTCTAAGGTTTGTCTTCCCATAGAAAGAGTATATGCAGTATAGTTACTATAGTATGTGGACATTAATGGGATATGCTAGTTTTCTTTTCTAACCATCAGGTCATTATTGAGTCACAACTGCCCCTGTGATTAGATTCTAAGAGGCACAGATTTACAAAACATTGCTAGGAATGCAGATGGTATCATGCAAGATTGGCTTTTCTTTTTCAGAGTCTAGCTAATTGATCCATATCCCAACCATGGTCTCATTTTAAAACTTGGAGTTTTCTATGTGACTTTTTCATTCTGTGAACATTTTGGAATATATCGTATATACTGATGAATTAAATGAACTTGCAAATCAGTTAAGTCATAACTGTTAACATGGCTAAGCGATACTTTTGGTACTCACAGTGTGATTTGTCACTTAAATATGTCAAAGTCTTGAACTAAAAAATATTCTCGCAAAAAGGCATAAAATTTTTGATGCTTAATTTTGGTAGAAGTCTGTATATTGAGAACACTCAAGCAATGAAAGGAGAATATCAGACTATGGAGAAATGCAAATCTGTCAACGTAATGTGTAAATATTTATGACATTTGTAGAGAATGTGAATCATGTTGTGGGGCTGGCTTCAATCTGAGCTACAATTCAAACCTAAATTAAATGACTCTTTTCTGCTTTCTTTATTTACAAAGTTTTTGTAAATATTTTTTTGTTTTCTTTCTTTATAAATGAGTATAGTAATGTTACCTACATTTAAATGAGTGAATATGAAAGCTCTTGGAATAACACTCAGCACATAGTTTTGTAAACTCCAGAAAATGTTACTTTCAAAATTAATGTCCATGAACAATTACATGATCAATAAGATAATATTTTTTCACCTTACTTTAAATTTCCAAAGTCACAGCAATGTAACTATGTAAATAATAATAATAATAACAACAAATTATTATTATTAATTTCATAGCTGCAATTATTATAAATTGCCATTATTTAATATGAAAGCTTTTATTATTTTCAACTAGTTAATTTTTTTAGAGTCTCTATGATTATATACCTACAGTTCTGTGGATTGACATTGCATTGAGGAAGGGAGGATGTTAGCATACTCTTCCTGAATTGTTTATTATTATATGTCTAGAGTGATCAGGTCAATGCTGTTTTGCTGAGGTCATTCACAATAATTAATTCATAAGTTGATCTATAAAAAGAATTTTTCAAAGACATTTGTTATACATAGGAATGACTTTAAAGAAAGATGGCAATCATTGGGAAGAGAGTTGTACTAAACTTTATATATTATTTCATCATTGTGTAATTCTTTTTACAAATGGTTGAAACATTTATGCAAGTAATTTACTCTAGGCAAAAAAAAAAGGTACATTATGTGGGCTCCAAAAGGCATAAAATGAAACAATTTGTTTTGCAGTTAGTGAATACTCATTACGATGCATGGAAAGCTGACTCCTTGTTCGTTTTTAATGTGAAATTCTAAGGATCATTAAAATTTACTACTCCAAAAATATCTATGTATTTAAGTGATATTCATTTAAAACTTTATACTTTTCTGGTTAACCATGGTCTCCTGTCTGATTTAGCCCATAATTGCAAATTATTTCTAAATACAAATCTTTAATTTTAGATACACCTGTGAGAAAGTTACAAGCCAACAAAAGAGTTCAAGGTCAGTGTATTAACTATTGTAATGTGTGTATATGGCATGTTTTGAATGAGAGATATCAAAGGATTGTTTATGTACATCATTGAACTTTGTTTTCTGTTATGGGGAAAAGTTAGAAAGTTTTGATCCCAAGTATTTATATGATAAGTATAAGGAAATGAACTGCTCAAGTCCTGCACTATTAATAGAATCTAAGTATATCAAGTATTAAAAGAAAGGCAACTATATTCACATAAACTGTTTAGACATTGAACCTTTGAGGTAAACTCAAGTAGAGTTAAGTAAAGAGGAAATGTTTGAATACCAGAGCCAAGTGCAGGTAGACCTAAGCTGTTAAAAAATATCATCTAAGACAAAGCTATGGTTTGAGACATAAGTAAATTAAAATAGAAAACTGTTAATGTAACTATTTAAAAATTTTTGATATAAATGTATAAATTATTTATGTATCTGAATATATCATAGCACTATAATTTTCAATTCTACATTTATGTGTATATTTTAATTCCTCCTCTTAGGTTATCTTACATCACAATACATTGAAATAGCAAAGATTTCCCTTGTGGAACTTAAATGACAAGCTTGGAATTACAAGTTTAGAATTCCCGAGATAATTACTTACTAATAATCAAAACAAGTTACACTAGTTAAAATGTTATGCTAATACAATTTTAAGCCTTCCCAATGTTTAAAGTTTTGGAATTAAGGGGTTGATTGCACAAATGTTTTTTAAAGAAATATTTATAAGAAATTTCTTTGAAACACCCCAAATCATCCAAATTTTCTAAAGAATTAGAAGAATCAAGTTTCAGATTATTATTTCCTTACATCTTTGATCAAAATACAGTCTTGGTTCCATCCCTATAAACTGAGGATATTATTAAAAGAAAATAATATAAGTGAAATTTGGTACAATGAGAAAGAGTGCCTTAACTAGATATGTTATGCACAGAATATCATTCTTTTTTTAAAATTTTTCATGTTCTATTTATTTGTTTGTTTGTTTATTTATTTATTTATTTTTATTGATTTTATTTTTCTGTGAAGTTTCATCATCTTTACATCTGTATGTTCCTCTTCCTCCTAATCAGTGTCTAGAAGACGATCAAGAGAAGATCGTTCTCAATGAAAATCTAAAAGCTAATCAACACATATAGAACCCTAAGTCAACAACCTGACCTTAAAAGGAAGACTATGAGAGCCAATTTAACTTCGGGAACTAAAACATCGGCACAAGACAAATCATGGAACAATTCTGAACACACATTGAATTCTTTTATTGTTTTGTTTTCTAAATGAAAAACTTGAGAAAAATGGTGGGATTAGCCTCCTGTGGGATAGGAACTGAAGGAATACAGTACCTTATAGGCTTTTTTTATCCTGAAATTAAGAGTTCTGACTAAAGTGGGAATCCATCAAAGAAAATCCTTGTCACTAGATTCATTGTGACTCAAATCTAAGAGTGGTGAGCTGTTATCTCATTGAGAAGATTGATCATTGAATGTACTTAATGGTTAAATCAAAAGCATGCAAACAGTTACCTCTCCATGGGAAGCTAAGTTATAAAAATGGGTGCTTATATATCACAAACAAACAAACGAAAATACTTTTACTTCCAAAGGCTTTACACATTTCTAATAATGTAGGTTTACTGGTAAATTATGTTATTTTTACAACTAATTTTGTACTCTTGAAATGTCATATGCTTCTTGCAATACATATTTTTTATCTCAAACATTTCAATAAAACAATTTTTTTCAGGTATAAAGAGAATTACTTCAGTTTGGGTAATTCAGAAAACTCAAGGTATAAGTTAAAAATCAGTTTGGACTTGGGAACAAAACTTTATACCTCTTTTATTGTTAACAATTACTCAATAAAGGAAATTGAATGAAATGAGTGTTTCTTGAATTTCTTAAGCTTATTACATTACATAAAGAATTGTTAGAGAATGAAACAATCAATAAGTATAAACAGAGCATTTGAGCACCAGAGCTCCCAAGACTGTATTAAGTTGTAAGATTCAAAAGATGAATTTTGCAACTCAAAAGATAAAGAACAAATTATTCATAATGCATCATAGGCTCTAACTGAAGAACGAATAGAACTACACAAGCAGGAGATTGTCAATTATTTATTCCTGGGCTAGGCCTGGCAGGAGTAAAGAGATGCCCTTAACTGAGTTAAAGTAACAGAAGAGTGTATTGTGTAACAAGGGAAAGGAAGAAAAAAAAAATTGTTTTCTGAGAATGATAAGGACATTGGCTTGATTCTCAGTGAATGTCATCCTTATCTTGGACTAGTTGAAATAAAAAAAAAAAACCAAAACCTCACTTAGAGAATGGAATCCTTACTGATAAGCGACTGAGTAGTAATGGTGTAACAGAATTATACCATCCCTTGGAGAGTAGTAACTGAGAGACTGTAAAACTGAGCAAAGTCAGACTGAAGATGTAGGATGTGATCCAAGATGTTCAGCTTAGATCAGAGAAAGCTGGGCTCAGCAGTGATGTATTAAGAAAGGACCTAGGAAGCTCCTTAGGTCAAGAGGCTTTGAGGAGTGATTGGTTTGATGTATCGTGATAAAAATTCTGAGAGTGCTATTGACTGAAGAAATGCTCAGTAGCTTTGGTTTTCCACAATTCTTTCTAGTCTAGGAGAGTGATGAGATCTATGACCCTGCCAGAAAAGAAAATATTCTACCTTCTCAGTCCTCAAGTACAGATCTCAGTGAGAAGGATTGTGGCTGCCATCTTTCCAAAATGATTCAAAAGAGGTAGTTATACACAGTGGTATTGGTAGAATGGATTAAAATGTCACCAATGTGAATAGTTGCTCCAAACAGCTGGCATGTTGCTCACGATGCTCCAGAAGATCATCAACTAACTGCACAGAATAAGCAACAAATAGGTTTCCTACTTTAACCCCCTTTAGTATTTTTGTTTGAAAATGAGCCAGATCTTACAAAGTGGACTTCAAACATTGTAGTCCAGGACAAAAAGATGGATGTTGAACTTGGCTTAAAGACACTGTTTTTTAACTATAGAAGAAAAAAGAAACCAGTGTCAGCTCATATACATGCACACGTCTAGCATACCATTATGGTAAAAGAGTCTTTCAAGTGATATATGTAAATAAATTTGCCACAAAATTTAAAGAGGAGTTATTAATAACATGAATTAAATTAGTAATAATATGAACAAAAAGGAACTAAAAATCTTTAAAAGAACAATAATTTAGAACCTTAAAATAAGGAGTTTAAAAAATTTAAAAAATCCACTGATATGTTTAACTATAGAAAGGTAGGATGTGATTTGAGGAAGTAGGTCACTGTGGGTTGACTTTGAGGTTTACATTTTGTCCCTATGTAGTGGACCTCACTCTCTGCTTCCTGGTGGTCATGTCCTGAGCTTCTTTTCTCTGCCACAACCTTCTGCCATGATGTTCTGCCTCACTTTGGGCCCAGAGCTATTGAGTCGGCCAACTATACACTGAACCTCTGAAACCATGAGCCCAAATAAACTTTTCCTGTTCTATATTTTTCTTGTCAGGTCTTTTGGTCACAGCAATGTGCAAAGATAACTAAAACACTGATTTTGACAAGTGGCCTACAAACTTTTGGATCAGGCATGTTAAACATATGACTATGATTTTTACAGAAATCTATATAAAGTATTATTTCTCAAGGTTAGAAATGTTGTGACATTCTGCATCAGGATTTACTAGAAAGTCTTATGTTGAAATGAAGATTTGGAAAGTCATCTAAGATTTAGATAGAGTCTTTCCATGGAAACAACTGGTGAATATATATAAAGAAAATGTACAAAAAACACAGATGGAACTAGAGATCATTGTGTGATGTGAAATCACATAATATAATGTGATAATATAATGTGGCACAAGAAGAAAGTACTGCTTGATTTCACTTGTATGTGGGACATAAAAATCTTCATCTCATAGAAGCAAAGAGTAGAGGGTATGAAGGAAGGGGACAGTTTGATCAGTGGATGCCAAGTTACAGTTACTTCCTAACTGTAAGAAGTTCTGATGTGCAATTGCACAGTAAGATAACTATAGATAATCATAATTTTTTGGATATCTCAAAAAGCTTAAAAAGGGAATTTGAAAGTTTTCATCATAAAAAAATAATAATTCTTGTGGCAATAGATGTGTTTAACTTAATTTAAACATTACACGATGTGTTACATGTTGAAACACCACATATGCCCCATCAATACATAATTTTTTATATTTTTTACACAATTAAAAATTAATTTTAGAAAGAGTAAAAATGGGAGTTCATAACCCACTTGAATCAAAGTGTGAAATATGATATATCAAGAACTATGTAATGTTTTGAACAACCAACAATAAAAAAATTAAAAAAAAAAATTAAGGTTCATTGACAACTAAAAAAAAAAAAGAAAGAGTATTTTGAGCAAACTTCCCCTGTGATTCTTTAAACAATAGTTTTTAAGTTTTTGTTTCCTAAAGTTTCTTTGTCTTTTTTTTTAGTTATAGATGGACACAATATCTTTATTTTATTTATTTATTTTTAAGTAATGCTGAGGATCAAAGCCAGTGCCTCACATGTACAAGACAAGCATTCTGCCACTGAGCTATAACCCCCGCCCTGTTTTCTAAATATAATTGTATTTTTCAAAATACAGTAGAATAAATCTAACATAATTTTCTTAAGTACACATATGAAAATACCTAAGTAAATCCCACCATCATGCCCACCCACAAGAATAGGGTTCTACTTAGAATAAGATATATTCCATGCTTATATAATTTTACCAAAATGGATTCTACTGTCATGTATAACTAGGAAAAAACAATAAAAATAAATAAAATAAATTTGACCACAAATTTATTTTCAAAATAAATGTCTATACCTCAGCTACTAAAAGAGGAGGATCCCAAACTGATGATCTGCAACAACTGTGGGATTTTCTTGCTGTTGTTCATGAAAATAAACTTTTAAGAAAGATTTAATTTTCCTTGTTCATTTTTTCCTTAGCTTAGCCCAATTTGCTTCATGTTATCTTTTTGTCTAATTTATCAAGTCAACCAGAGGCTTTTTCAATGGCAACAGCAGAAAGCTGAAACCTGTAATTTTATAAACTAAAAACAGATTGCCAGAACAAGTAGAACATTAGGGTATACTTTGGTGCTTAATTTTATTATGAAAAATAAAGATAAAATTGTTGGTCACTAAAAAAAATACATGAATCAACCAGTTTTTGCCTATAACTAACGAATAATTAACCATTTCCAGTACCATTTTTTGGAAAAAAAAATCTTTTCTCCAAGAATTTGTCTGTGTATCTTTGTAAAAAAGAGACAAGGCATATATTTGTTGGTTTACTTTTGTACCTTCTTTTTTATTCTGTCCTATTATTGATCTATTTTCTACTTTAAAACTACATACTTACTTGTTTGCTATAGCTTTAAAGTAAATCTTAAATCAGGTGGAGTAGGTCTTCTAGTTTTGCTGATTCTTTGGGCTACTTTCAGTTATTTGTATTTCCACATGAATTTTTATATAAGCTTGGTGATTTCAACAAAAAATAAAAATACTTGCTGTGTTTATGATCAAATCTGCGTTGAATCTATAGGTTCAACTGTGTATAATGGAAATCTTAATAATATGAGTTGCTAATCCATGAACAAAATATAGGTCTCAGTTTAGGTAGTACTTTCTTATTTTCTTCACCAATGTTTTCTAGTTTTAAGTACACAGGTCCTGAACATATTTGTCATATTCTCCCATAAGTAGTTAATATTATTACTCCAAAATACTCATATGTTATGAATGGCATTGTTGTATTTCCATTGCTGATTATTTTCTGTTTATTCCATTGTAATCTGCCACCTTGAAAAATTCACTAGTTAGTTTAAGAAACTATTTTGTAACTTCCTGATATTTCCTTCCAAGGACAATTATGCTGTCTGCAAATAAGGACAATTTTACTCCTTTTTTACAATCTGGATGTTTATATTTCCTTGTCTTATTTCATGGGTTGATGTAGAATACTAAGTACACTATTGAATAGAAGTGCTGAGAGTGGTGAAAAAAGATCATTCAGTTTGTAAGCATTAAGTATGATGCTTAGTTTGGTGTCAACATCACTAACTTTTCATGGATGTCCTTTATCAAGTTGAGAAAAGTGCCTTCTATTCCAAGTTTGTTAAGAGTTTTTATCAGGAAAGAATATTGAATTTTACTATTTTTCCCCTGCAGTTATTATGATTTTAACTTGGCTTTTCTTTTTCAGCTTGTGAATATGGTATGTTAGTAAATAAAATTGGGTTGAGGTTGTAGCTCAATTGGTAGAATATTTACCTTGCATGTGTGAAGCACTAGATTTTCATTACAGTGAACAAAATATTTTACAAGAACTACTTAGTGAAGAAAAACTTTGTTTTGGGTGCTTGATTTCAGAGATTCAGTCCATGATCACCTGACTCCATTGCTCTGGGTACAAGGGGAGGCAGAATGTCATGTCAGAAGGGCATGGTAGATAAATGCTGCTCCATTCACAGCAGGCAGAGAGCAAAGAGAGGGGAAAGGGTAGCAGTCTTTTAAAGATAAGCTCTTTTAGTGCACCCTTCCAGTGAATTACCTCCTCTAGCCATGCCCAACCTGCCACAATTATGATCCAGTTAGTCCATTCAAACTAGGATGAACTGATTAGGTTACAGCTCTGAACATTTCTGCATTTAGGGCACACTTTGTATCTAAACCATAACATTCTTCCTCTAGCCACCAAGTTAGTGTCCATCTCACAAGACAAAATTATTTAGTTCAGCTCAAAAAGACTCCATATTTTTTTAAACACAATACCTTTATTTTATTTATTTGTTTTTATGTGGTGCTGAGGATCCAACCTA